CATGCAAAAATAATTTTCTGCCTGCAGTCCATTGCACGTATCAAAAAGTTAACTGGGTCTTCCTTGGGTTCCTGTGACATTGTAAGCAATTCTTGATATAGATCTGTTGCACTACCCTCTTTATAATGGGATCTCAAAATTTTCCTCAACCTTGCAAGGGATATTTGCCCTGAACCTTCTAAATAGCTTCTTATTTGTAGACCAGGAGAGATAGAATTTATTATTGCATTCACTACTTCCCCTTCAGAATATCCTCTGTCCAACCCAACTTCAACTTGCCTTATTAGGGATACATAAGACAATTTTTCCCTTTGACCCACCTCCCCAATCTGACCTATAATCTTAAATTCCCTTCTAAACATGCTAGTCTGCATGGTCAGATTATCAGGCTGGGTAGTGTGTGTTGTCTTAATTCTTGTGTTATCCCCCTCTGCACCTTCTGCACACCCTGGGACTGTAGATGTTTCTTCTACTTCATCCCCTTCCAAGGGAGGGGGTGACAACTCACCAAATTTCTTTAATTCATTAAGAAGTGCTTCAAATTCTTGTTGGGTTGATTTTTCAAAGTTTTCTTCATAAACTGCAGACAATAATTTAACGAGCTTTAATCGACTCTTACCAACAACATCTTTCTTCGGCACTTTTAATTTGTCTGCAAGTACTTTCAATTTCTCCAATTCCAGCAAATACAATATTCCCTCAGCCTGCAACAATAATTCCTCCATCTCTGCCATCCTTGTACTAAATCTTCCTCACGGGGTGCCAAAATATGTAAGACACTCGGTTTAGCAAAACGCAGAACTTTCGACATCAATTTTCATTCATCTTTTTGGCATAGGCCATCCACTTTTACAAAAAACACGCGGTCGCGTGAAAACGAGGCAAATAGATTACGTAATCCCTAAAAAGAGTTCCTTATTGGGAGGGGTTTGAAACAACTTAAATTTACCATCTAATAATATAAAATATATCATTGTTCTTACAATCCAACATTTTTCTCCAGAGAAGTGCAGTTTCCTGGAAAAATTATTTTGGGAAGAAGATTTTGAGATGTTGTGTCTAGTTGCTGAAATATAAAAAAAACGGGCTTCCAGTATAATAACAAACAGCAGCTTTGACACCTCAAGGGGATCTGTTATTGAAGGTCTTGGATAATAAGTCTTTTTACAGTCTTTGCCCTTCAATTAATTTTATTATCGCAAGGCCTCTTGAAAACCAGCTTTTGTTAAAAGACAGCCCTACTTAAAAGAAGAGAATATGAAGATATTAAATCTATGTAGTTGTCTGGTTTAAGTTTGAGCGAAAAGCTTTTTTATTTCTTTAGATTTTAAAGTTAGAGCATTGAGTAGGTTGTAAACATTGACAATAAATTTTTACAGCTTAATTTAGTTAATGGCTTTTTACTTTGAACCTGTCTAATTAATATTTCATCGGAGGGCTTTTGTTAGTTATCGCATGTACGGATTAAATCTTTATAGTTAGAAATCTCTATTTTCTTAAAACTAATAGACAAGATTTCACTTATGTGAAACATGTTAAATGTTATCGTAGGAGATAAGGCTCCGTAAGGGCAAGACTTCAAATGAGTTTTGCGAAGATGTTGTTGGCACTCGAGTAAATTCTTGTAGAATATTTAAGAGTAACACAGATCAAAGAGCAGGTGCGTTGCAATGGAACTGAAGCACGGAGCAAAGGACTGTTAAAGTATTGACTTAAACAGTCAGTAGAACAACAAAAGTCTTGGTGAATGGGGAGAAAGAACAATTTTCTTCTACATGACTACAACCAACTGACGCTTGAACAAGTGACGGATTGCCATATCTTGGCCTGATACAAAGTGATAGAGGGGTATTCGAAGCAGTTGGAAAACCAGTGTTAGTGAAACAAGACTGAACTTGTATTTTCCATTCGAGGAGAATGCCAAGAGAGGTGAGAAAAGTGTTGACAAAGCTACCTTCAAAAGGAATATCGTGTTCAAAGGTATTCCTGTTTCAGAAATAACAGACTCCTAAGTAAGTTATTAATATTTTGTCAGTTTAATTTATCCTTGAGCTTAAGGGGGTGTCTCATTAGTTTGAAAAGGTGCTCTCTAGAAGCGATGCCCCTGTTTTAGAGTGCCGAGCGATGCCGCTGATATAGAGAAGGGGGCAATGCCCCTGTTATAAAGAGCTGTTTCAGCGTCAATATTGATAAACTTAAAATCGAGGGATGTTGTTGGTTGTGAAAAGATACATGCTAAAACCATCAAAATATAGTGACGGAAAAAGAAATCAGTGTGCATAATTTTTATACAAGAAAACTATAGATTTGGGTGGGCGGTGAAGTGCTTGTTAATGCTGAAAATTAGTCAATGTAAATTTTTGCTATTTATTTGTTATTGTTTCTAGCAACATTTTCTGCAAGAGCCCCTATATTTTGAAAGCAATATACCTTTGATTCACGTTATTCTAGAATGTGATGATAAAAAAACGCAGACTACAATTACACGTAGAAGTGCAGTGCTATGAAAAGACCTAAATTTTAGAGTTCTTCTTTCTCAATTTTAGGCGATGTTTATGCTCCGGGTTCTATTATGTTAAAGGCTTCATGCATAAAGAGATTATCACCACGCTAGTGAAGTCCAGTGGCGAATCTAAGAGGGGGAAACTGCCTTTCCTCGACGTGTTGAAACGAGTCTGTTGCCCCTTTTTGGAAATTTTGCGCCCCTTTTGAAGAATGAGAATCAGGTGGAAAAGTTTCTGAGACCGATAGGTTAAATTGCTTCAAGGATTACCTCAAAGTTATGTTGTTTATTCCGAAAATGGATCTGAAATTATTGTATACAGCTTACTCTCGTCATCAATTTTCGAAAATTTTCCAGCGCCCCCACTACCAACTGCCCCTCCTTCAAGTTTGCTTTGGATCCGCCCTTGGTCAAGTCAACAATGTATCCTCACAGCTCTACATTAGAAAAAAGACCAAAATCATTTTTTTTCTTACTATTCAGTCAAGTTTCCTTGGTTTTTTATATGAATCCAAAAATATTTTAATAATCTGGATTTAAATCGTTCATTCGCGGCCAGACCTGTTGGGACTTCTCGACAAGAAAAGGAAAACATGGCGTCGCACAAATACTTCCTGTTTGTGAAGAAGAGGATAGTTTTGTTATAATCAATTTACTATGCAACACAAAAAACCAGTTACATGAAAATTATGTTCAAGTAAAAAAAATCTTGCAGCGAACTTATTTTGAACTTACAGAGAGAAGTTTTCGTCATGCGTGGAGCAATCGGCGTTTTGCAGTCCCTTCAATTTTCCCTCGATATGCAAAGACTGATATCGGCCTTAGAATACACCATGTTCGGCATTAAATTCATTGTAAAATGTATTTTGCTACTACAAAAATCAAAACAAACGTTCATTTACTTGCTGTAAACCTTCAGAATTGAATTTCACCATAACAAGCTTGGTAATGATAAAGGAATGGATGCACTTACGTTTTGGTGCGATTGTACAATACGCACTTTTTCACAATGAAATGTTTAATCACTGGAGGGTGGGAAGACAAAACTTGGGGGCCACATGACAACAAAGGTTAGTATCAAGTCTATTGATCCTGTTTGTTGATCAGAACAGAGTAGAGCCTAGGCATATAAGTGTGATCGCAAGTTGAAGTGTGAATTTTTCTACGTAAATCAGGGCCATCCAAGTCCTGGGAGCGCAAAAGTAGAAAGAAGTGTTTATTGAACAAAAAGATTACATTATTGCAATTACAAAAATGTGGTATTATCAAAGTTTTGTGACAATGGACAAGTCCAGCTATCAAACAGCAAGGGAATACGATATCCTGGAACATTGAAGAGTGAGCTCAGCTACAGATAGATTCAATATCGAATGTTGTTCCAAAGCATCAAAAACTCAACATTTCAGAAGTACACAACTCTAACAGCAGTTTTACAAAATGGTTCTTTGCTGTCAATCCTCGTATTTTTTACAGCGCTAGCAGAGTTCTTCCATCCATTCTTAAGGATTCTATTCCTAACACCCAAAAGAGTTCCAAAGTTTATCAATTGTCGTGCCAGTCTTTTTGTGGCTACGTAGGACGCACAACCAAAAGATTGGGGGGAGAGGGAGGATAAAACAACATGTTCCTTCCAACATAAGAAACAAAACTGCTCCTTCAAGAGAACAAGCTATTCTGCCATCGGACAACATCTTTTAGACAACCCACATCGTGCCAAAGAATATAATGACGACTTTTTGAGACATTTGTCAGAGCCAAGTGAATTTTCTACACAGCTGTTTTGGAATCGACTTACATACAAACGGAAAAGGCCACTACTGTGTAGACCGAAGGAGTTCGTTTTCTCTCTTGGAATTTATTGATAATTTTCCTTACTGCTTTGGCAACTATACCGGTCATTTGTTCGCGTTATTCTGATTGGCCTATTTCCATCCACAACTGGGTATATATTTCCTATCGTGTTCTTTCGGAAACTTATTCGGATACTACTTAGATGAAAATGTTTGCCTTTTAGAATGGTGCAAATGTTTGCTTTTTAAGAGACCATTTTCTACCAGCACTGTTGTAAATGTTTTGCAGCACTGCGAATCTATATCAACAATAGAAGTTTCAAACAGAAGCAAACGTGACTAGAAATATTTTTGTCTTTTTGCAAATTTTGCCTTAAGTAACATTTTTGCAAGCCACATTCGATTAGGGGGACATTTCAAAACCAAAGCAACCTGGTGTGAAAATTTCTTTCCATGAAAAACTTTTTTTTTATGTAACAGAAAAATTTGTGAGTTTTACAGAGAATAGAGGCTTGTTTAGACATAAAACGAGCGACCATTTAACAAGATATTTGAGGGAAAGGAAAATATTCGTTTTCTTTTTTGCCGTCTTTATGATGCAATTGGACTCTCTCCTCTTTCAAAAGAGAGATGAAAAATGGCTAGTCGACCAAAATTATTGGAAAGGAAAATAATTATGAAACTATGATGTGCTATGGTATCCGCTCATCAATTTTCTATTTTTACTTTGCTTAGCGATCGTGTTAGCGATCTGAAATAGCTTTCACTGTTAAGTTGAAAAAGATTTAGAAATGGAATCGAACGTTCTGGGACATGGATCTCGTGTTCATACCACAAACTCTTGCTCCATGTAAACGCAGAGCTTAGGATATAAGTCATAATCCGGGGGGGGGGAGGGGGCATTGACAGGCTCATATTGCCCATCCTGTTTTTCTCCATAAAAAGACCATAAGGTTTTATCTGTTATTGTATGACTAATATTAAAATGATATCCTTATCCTTCTTGAACATCAGAAATAGTAATTAATTGAGTTGATAATAAGTCATGAATTGTAAAGAATATCTAAACATGGTGACAGAAAGACACAAATAAAATCCAACAAATTTCAGATATCACTTGCACTCATCCACACATATTTTAATTTACAATTATAAAGCCGTCCAAAATCAACTACAGAAATTTTAAAAACTGTTTTCCATCACACCTTTTCTTTGCATGAGAGAAACCCAAAAGGTTGATGTTTCTGGTGTCATAAACATGTATTTCGTTTTAACAGTTTTTAAGTAACGTTTTGTTTCTGGATTTCAAGGCGCTCAAAGCTTCAACTTGAAGGCTCGTCGACTTTTGATCCACGCTGATCTGAAGAATCCAACAACAGCTTGTGCAACCATCTTGTACCTCTGTCGTGCCGGCTTTTGCTTCAGTTCAAATTTGCTCTTCGATTCATCCATTTCATCAACGACGTACTGTCCCTCATAATCATCCCCAATTCTTGATCGCATCTCGTCCTCGATTTCTACCTCTGATAGATAATCAAATTCTTCTCTGAATGACGATAGCCTCGAACCCATTACTGAAAACGAGTCTTCAAATTCCATCTGTGTTACAATCGTCAAGTCGAGATCAGTCTCTTTTTCATCTTCAAATTCTGAGTTTGTTTCGCATTTGTCGTTATAATCCAAATCCGATATTGCGATTGACTCGAAACTTGATCCCCACGATGAAACTGATCCACAATCGGATTCTACATCAGAAAAATCGATGGAAGGGCAATCTGATTCGAAATATGATACTACAGAGACAATCGTCAAATCTGATTCTGGATCTGGGAAAAAATCAGAGGCAGATTCGAATTCATAAGAATTTTTATCAATTTGTCCTTGGTTGATCATGGTTACGTCGTGGACCAGTGAATCGGATGTTACAGTATTGGTGGCTGAAAATATGTTGTAGCTTTTCGGCACCTGAAAAAAGAATGAAAATCATAATCAGAATCAATTCAGTTTGCGTCTGCTTCTTCATTTAGTATAAGGATTCAATTACCAGGATGTGTGCATTATAAGAATCAATGACAAACTCTACTTCATCGAGAAAGTATTGAGAAAAGAGTTTAGTAGAAAGTGATCGAAAAAAGCAAACAATTGAAATGAAAATGTAAACAATTGAATAACAAAATATTGAAGGGAATGAATGGATTGAAATAATTACTTACTATCTTTGTTTGGCATCCTCTTGGTGTCGATGTTGCAAATGGTTGGGAAATATCGAGACAATGCTTGATATCTGAAAGGAAAGATTTGAAAGATACTTTTAGAAGAATTTACTAGGCGTAAAAGCACTTTTATCAATTTCTTTGAGTTACAAAGATGTCAGTCCTTGTTATTCATTCTTTATAGATCTTCCTTTAAATGATTTTCAGTTAGCGTAAATAACAAAGCGAGGTTACAAATGCATCAGTACTCGTCAGTACAGTGGTCGCATATTTAAGTATCATCATAAAGCCATTCGAAAAATTCTAAAACCCATGATTTGATAATCAATTCTTTTCAATACTGTTGCTTCCGAACACCAATAATTATTTTCAATTCTTCACTCTCACCTGCAACTGTGTTGGTTCTCTTTGACCTTGTAGAAGAGTTCAGTCTTTGCTTATTCTTCCAATTTCTTGTCAACGAACGCTTTGTGCATTTTGCTGTGTATTCTAAAAAGCAATTTCAAACATAGAAACAAATTTAACTTACTTTCTAGTATCGTCAAATTTGCTTTTTATTTTGTTTTGTTTCAATTTATTTAGGCTCCTTGTTAAAATAACATCTATAAAGACATTCAAGAAAATATTCTTAGCATTATGGGATGCTATTTCAAAGAAGCTTAAAAATTTAGAAAACGCTTAGAAAAAGATCATACTTTTGTAAAGATAACAATAACTTCCAGCAAAAACATGGAAAGTAAAAGCTTTAAGAACTCACCATCTTCAACACTGCATTTGGAAAAACAAATTCCCATCTTGATTTCGATTGGCGACCACAAGATGGCAGACGTTTCTTACAATGAATGTTTAAATGATTTCCAAAGGTTTGGAAAATGAAAACTTAGCTTTCCTTTCGAAGATAACAGCAGCCAATGTTACCTCAGATGCTGAATCGATCTGAAATTCTGCTTTAATAACCGATGAATCGCCTTTTATATACAAAGAGCGTAACCAATAAATTTGACGTCACAATCTCAGATATGATCGCTGACGCAACAATTGAAAACTTGCATAGTAAAAAGAGATGTGTAGCAAATTAAGAAATTTGCAGTGAAAGCAAATTTGAATGAACATTACATTACCAGAAACAACTTAACGAGACGATGCCTTGAAAAACACAAGCGGTACGGTGCTTCAAGGCAAAGTAGCCAGAATTACGATGAGTAGAATCAGAAACTTCTAATTTCCAAGATGGCAAGAGTGAAAACTGTTTTTCTGAACATGCTTGAACGAATGCTTTTCCAGAAAAATGGAAATTTACAAGGAGAAAAAGGGAGATATGGTTTTTTTAGGAAGTTGGTTATTTGTAATAAAGACAATGAAACTTCTCAATAAGTTATTGCAAGTCGATACAGCATTGAGAGAGAAGATAAGGACAAAGAGTGTAGGAATCTTTTTCCAGAGAAGTGAAGTTGCCTGAAGAAATATTTTTGAGAAGAAGATTATAAGATGTTGTGGGTAGTTGCTTAAATATCAATAAACGGGCCGTCAGTATGATAACAAACAGCAGCTTTGACACCTCAAAGGGATTCTGTTATTGAAGGTCTTGGATAATAAGATTTTTTACAGTCTTTGCCCTTGCAATGAATATTTCTATCGCAAGGCCTCTTGAAAACCAGCTTGTGTTAGAAGACAGCCCTACTTAAAAGAAGAGAATATGAAGATATTAAATATATGTAGTTGTCTGTCTGGAGTTCGAGCGAATAGCTTTTTCATTTCTTTAGATTTTAAAGTTAGAACATTGAGTAGGTTGTAAGCATTGACAATAAAGTTTTACAGCTTAATTTAATTAATGGTTTTTCACTTTGAACCCGTCCAATTAGTATTTCATCGGAGGGCTTTTGTTAGATGTCTCATGTATAGATTAAATCTTCACAGTTAAAGATCTACATCTTCTCAAAACTGACAGACAAGAATTCATTTTTCTGAAACATGTTAAATATTATCATAGGAGATAAGGCTCCGTAAGGGCAAGACTTCAAATGAGTTTTGCGAAGATGTTGTTGGCACTCGAGTAAATTCTTGTAGAATATTTAAGAGCAACACAGATCAAAGAGCAGGTGCGTTACAGTGGAAATGAAGCATGGAGCAAAAGGACTGTTAAAGTATTTACTTAAACAGTCAGTAGAACAACAAAAGTCTTGGTGAATGGGGAGAAAGAACAACTGTTTTTCTACATGACTACAACCAACTGACGCTTGAAGAAGTGACGGATTGCCATATCTTGGTCTAATACAAAGTGATAGAGGGGTATTCGAAGCAGTTGTAAAACCAGTGTTAGTGAAACAAGACTTAACTTGTATTTTCCATTCGAGGGGAATGCCAAGAGAGGTGAGAAAAGTGTTCACAAAGCTACTTTCGAAAGGAATATCGTGTTCAAAGGTATTCCTGCTTTAGAAATAACAATCTCAGTTTTGTCAGTTTAATTTATCCTTCAGCTTAAGGGGGTGCCCCATTAGTTTGAAAAGGTGCTCTCTAGAAGCGATGCCCCTGTTTTAGTGTGCCGAGCGATGCCGCTGTTATAGAGAAGGGGGCGATGCTCCTGTTATAAAGAGTTGTTTCAGCGTCAAATCGTGGTAGGCTGTTGGTTGAGAAAGGATACATGCTAAAACCATCAAAATAGAGTGACGGATAAAGAAATCATTGTGCATAATTTTTGATACAAGAAAACTATAGATTCGAGTGGGTGGCGTAGTACTAGTGCTTGTTAATGCTGAAAATAAGTCAATGTTGATTTTTGCTATTGTTTCATATTGCTTCTAGCAACATTATGTGCAAGAGCCCCTGTATTTTCACGTTATTCTATTTGTATTTGTTGCTACCTAGCATCAGAAGGTAGTTTTTAGGACAATGAGAAGCTATGCTTATCGAGCAGTGTCCTGGTCCATCCACTCCATGCGACCACACCTCGTGATTCCTACGCCTGAAAATACAGAGAGTTGACGACTCTCCCCAATCTGGGTGAAAGTTTGGTCATGCCAAGGACTCGAACCACGGACCCTTGGGTCTGTAGTCAGCGCCTCTAACAACTGAGCCATCCTCGCACTTGAACGTTATTCTAGCAACATTATGTGCAAGAGCCATATACCTCTGATTCACGTTATTCTACAATGTGATGATAAAAGAACGCAGACTACAATTACACGCAGGAGTGCAGTGTTATAAAAAGAAATACATTTTAGAGTTCTTCTTTCTCAACTTTAGGCTATTTTTATTTAAAGGGTTCTTTTACGTTAAAAGTTTCATACATAAAGAGATAATCACCACGCTAGTCAAGTCAACAATGTATCCTCTCAGCTCTACATTAGAAAAAGGACCAAAAGCCTTTTTTTCTTACTATTCAGTCAAGTTCTCTTGCTTTCTTTATATGAATCCAAAAAGCTTTGGAATAATCTGGATTTGAAACGTTCATTCGCGAAAACATGGCGTCGGACAAACACCTCCTGTTCGTGAAGAAGAGGATAGTTTTATATTAATCACTTTGCCATGCAACACATAAAGCCAGATACATGAAAATCATATTCAAGTAAAAAAAATCTTGCAGCGAACTTATTTTGAACTTACAGAGAGAGGTTTTGGTCACGCCTGGAGCAAGCAGCGTTTTGCGATCCCTTGAATCTTCCCTCGATATGCAAACGACTGACATTGGCTTCAGAATACACCATGCTCGGCATTAAATTCATTTTACAATGTATTTTAGCTACAACAAAAATCAAAACAAATGTTCATTTACTTGCTGTAAACCTTCAGAATTGAATTTCACCACAACAAGTTTGATAATGACAAAGGAATGGATGCACTTACGTTTTGGTGCGATTGTACAATACGCACTTTTTCACAATGAAATGTTTAATCACTGAAGGTTGGGAAAACAAAACTTGGGGGCCACATGACAACAAAGGATAGTATCAAGTCTATTGATCCTGTTTGTTGATCAGAACAGAGTAGAGCCTAGGCATATTAGTGTGATTGCAAGTTGAAGTGTGAATTTTTCTACGCAGCCTAGGGCCATCCAAATTTTGGGAGCGCAAAAGTAGAAAGAAGTGATTTTTGAACAAAGAGATCACATTATTGCAATTTCAAAAAGTGGTATTATCAAAGTTTTGTGACAATGGACAAGTCCAGCTATCAAACATCAAGGGAACATGATATCCTGGAACATTGAAGATTGAGCTCAGCTACAGATGGTTTCATTATCGAATGTTATTCCAAAGCATCAAAAACTCAACATTTCAGAAGTACACGACCCTAACAGCAGTTTTACAAAATGGTTCTTTGCTTTCAATCCTTGTATTAATTACAGCGCTAGCAGAGTTCTTCCATCCATTCTTAAGGATTGTGTTCCTAACACCCAAAAGAGTTCCAAAGTTCATGAATTGTCGTGCCAGTCTTTTTTCTGGTTACGTAGGACGCACAACTGAAAGAATTGGGGGAGTGGGAGGATAAAACAACATGTTCCTTCCAACATAAGAAACCAAAGTGCTCCTTCAAGAGAAGAGGCTATTCTGCCATCGGACAACATCTTTTAGACAACCCACGTCGTGCCAAAGACTATAATGACGACTTTTTCAGATATTTGTCAGAGCCAAGTCATTTTTCTATACAGCCGTTTTGGAATCGATCTACATACAAACGAAGAAGACCACTACTGTGTAAACTGAAGGAGTTCGTTTTCTCTCTTGGACTTTATTGACAATTTTCCTATAAGCACCCGGTACTGTTTTGACAACTACACCGGTCATTTGCTCGTGTTATTCTGATTGGCCTATTTCGTCCAACAATTGGTTATATATTTTCTATCGTGTTCTTTCAGAAACTTATTCTGATACTACTTAGACGAAAATGTTTGCTTTTTAGAATGGTGCAATTGTTTGCTTTTTAAAAGGCAATTTTCTACCAGCACTGCTGGAAATGTTTTGCAGCACTGCGAATCTATATCAACAATAGAAGTTTCAAACAGAAGCAAACGTGACTAGAAATATTTTTGCGAAATAAGTAACGTTTTTGCAATCCACATTCGATTAGGGGCACATTTCAAAACCAAAGCTACCTTGTGAAAACTTATTTCCATGAAAAATCTGTTCTTTATTTATAAGGAAGATTTGTGAGTTTTACAGAGAATAGAGGCTTGTTTAGACATAAAACGAGCGACCATTAAACAAGATATTTGAAGAAAAGGAAAATATTCGTTTTCTTTCCTGCCGTTTTTAAGATACAATTGGACTCTCTCCTCTTTCAAGAGAGCAATGACAACTGGCTACTCGACCAAAATTATTGGAAAAGAAAATAATTATGAAACTATGACGTGCTATGGTATCCGCTCATTAATTTTCTATGACGTTTCTTACAATGAATGTTTAAATGATTTCCAAAGGTTTGGAAAATGAAAACTTTGTTTTCCTTTCGAAGATAACAGCGCCCAGTATTACCTCAGATGCTGAATAAATCTGAAATTCTGCTTTAATAACCGATGAAGCGCCTTTTATATACAAAGAGCGTAACCAATAAATTTGACGTCATAATCTCAGAAATGATCGCTGACGCAACAATTGAAAACTTGCATAGTAAAAAGAGATGTGTAGAAAATTAAGAAATTTTCAGTGAAAGCAAATCTGAATGAATTTTGCATTACCAGAAACAGCTTTACGAGACGATGCTCTTGAAAAACAAAAGCGGTACGGTGCTTGAAGGCAAAGTATTACGATGTGTAGAATCAGAAACTTCTAATTTCCAAGATGGCAAGGGTGAAAACTGTTTCTTTGAACATGCTTTAAAGAGCGTTTTTCCAGAAAAATGGAAATTTACAAGGAGAAAAAGAGAGAAATGGTTTTTTTAGGAAATTGGTTATTTGTAATAAAGACAATGAAACTTCTCAATAAGTTATTGCAAGTCGATACAGCATTGATAGAGAAGAAAAGGACAAATAGTGTAGGAATCTCTTTTCCAGAGAAGTGTAGTTTCCTGGAAAAATTATTTTGGGAAGAAGATTTTGAGATGTTGTGTGTAGTTGTTCAAATATCAAAAAAACGGGCTTCCAGTATAATAACAAACAGTAGCTTTGACACCTCAAGCGGATCTGTTATTGAAGGTCTTGGATAATAATGAAAGTTTTGATTGAAAAAAACAAGTGCAACTATTAATTATGTATAATTTGTAACAAGCAAAGTAATAAACTTTGTGAAATGTTGGTATGCTCGATTTTATTTATTTAAGTTCGTTGAACGTTTCTCTCTTCACAAAAAGGGGATGGAGTTCGTGGGTGACGTTCATAAAAACATAGACAACTTGAATATTGTTACGGTACGAAGATCGAACTTCTATCACGTGCTGGTCCACGTGGTTATCAGCGTGAACATCCTTTTATTAACTTTTATGCTTTTTAACTATTGTTCTATTCTAGTATCTAATTGGCTGTTATCATGTTCTGTTTTGTTATTGGCTAGCTGTATTTTAGAAAGGGTATAAAGGAGCTTGCCTGTTTTAGAGTAGGAGGCTTTTTACTGTGGGCGTTCCCGCCTTGCCAAAAGAATCGTGGCCGCCGTTTCCCGATGAAAGTCGAAGCGTGTGTCGCTTGAAAGACGTCGCTGTTGCCATTCGAAGTATTTAATTCAGAGACGCCACAAGTCGCCAATACTAAAGCAAGCAAGCTAAAGGTCGTGAGTGCTTTGTTTTCATTGTTATTCTTAGCTTTTCTATATTCTTTATATTAAACATTTGAGACTGATTGCCTATGAAGTTATTCGTTGACTCACAAACTGTTAGACTTAGAGGCGTAGTCTAATATTGGGCCAATATTAGACTACGCCTCTAAGTCTAACAGTTTGTGAGTCAACGAATAACTTCATAGGCAATCAGTCTCAAATGTTTAATATAAAGAATATAGAAAAGCTAAGAATAACAATGAAAACAAAGCACTCACGACCTTTAGCTTGCTTGCTTTAGTATTGGCGACTTGTGGCGTCTCTGAATTAAATACTTCGAATGGCAACAGCGACGTCTGTCAAGCGACACACGCTTCGACTTTCATCGGGAAACGGCGGCCACGATTCTTTTGGCAAGGCGGGAACGCCCACAGTAAAAAGCCTCCTACTCTAAAACAGGCAAGCTCCTTTATACCCTTTCTAAAATACAGCTAGCCAATAACAAAACAGAACATGATAACAGCCAATTAGATACTAGAATAGAACAATAGTTAAAAAGCATAAAAGTTAATAAAAGGATGTTCACGCTGATAACCACGTGGACCAGCACGTGATAGAAGTTCGATCTTCGTACCGTAACAAATGCCAACCGTAGAACGATAATCCTTTGCATTGCACTATCATGCAAATTGAAAAACTTGTCAAAAGAACAAAAAGTTCAAACTGTTATATGTTCATATTCATATCCTGAGCAAGAATTGTATCAAGTGAA